AAAATTAGCTATCAACTTGTTTGGCGAGAAGTTTTCCAGTTAGGTCTGGGCAGGGGACAGTCCCCTTGGAGATCTCTATCATCCTCTTGATGAGGTCATAGGTCATCTCTTCACTGACAACAGAGTCTTCTTTGTAGAGAGGGTGAGAGGTGAGGTAGTGCCTAATCCATCTTGCCCCTGTCATTAGCTCTCCTGCATGAAAGAGAGAAGGGAATGGAGGAGAGTTAGCTAGTTTTGCCTTTTCGGAAAGGCACATGCACACTGATTGCAAACTGAAGTAATGTGTGGCATGTGAGTGGCTTGGTTGAATGCTTATATACACAGGTATATAGCTAGCTCTAAGGAAACCGAGTATCGACCACGACAAATCGGTTTGGTATGCATTGGTTACTGGCTAATGTACTATGAAAGAACACTCACCTAAAGCTCTCTTGGAGATGAGTGCAAGATATAGCATGATAGAGCACCGCGTGTCAATCTCTATACTGTTGACATACATCTTCACCAGTGGAATGAGGCCTGGGAACTCACCCTGAGACAATTCAAGTGTGGAATGGAATAGAGACAGAAACCCAATCTGAAGCTGACCTTCCCGTTTATGATCGTGTCCACAGACATTTCAGTGTACTCGTGGTCATGTGGTCCCCGAGGCTCCGCCCCCTCCTTATCATCATCATCTTTGTCATCATCGGGGACAACACTCTTTCTGAAGTAAAACTTCTCACTGCGAACTGCGTCTCTTTTCTGAGCCCTCGCCATGTTCTCCTGCATCTGATTGGTCACCGTTAAGGAAACAATGTTGTACTACAATAGAGATGCTAAATAAAGGTTACCTTTGAAATGGGAACGAGGAAGTTGAGATCAAATGAGAGAATAGCTCGGGTCAGTAGAATTACAAACACAATGTATGCAGCATTCTCAAAGTCGGTCAGTTGCACTTGCAAAAATAATTTTAGGGAAGATGAAACCACCCATTATAGAGCTCTCACATCTAGAGATCTGAACTCGACTCTCCATCCAATGTTAGAATTAAGAGGTGGAGGCTTGAACCTCATACTCTGCCAGTTGGTAGACTGTATGTTCTGTCAGAGGTATCAATTAGAGGAGAAGAAGGTGGCAAAAAGAGACAGTTCAAAAGAAGAGAGATGAGGGAAAACGAGGGGGGTTAGAGAGCACAGTGGGAAAGGTCAGTACACACCTCAAAATGGTCGACGTCATCTTCAATGCTCTGATAAATCTTTTCCTCAAACAAGGAGACTGGATCTCTAATAAACAGGTGGGCAACATGTTGCGCCAATACCTCATCAACACCAGACCGGAAAGAAAAAACTTTCACCATTGCCCCCCCCCCTCTTATTAACCTCCATCCCTTAGAGTTTGGAAGGCCTCAGCATTATATGGGAGTGGCATGTCATTGTAGTCTTGATTGGTGAGGTAGCAATCAATTACATGGAAACGAGAGGTGGGAATGGTGAATGGACACTCCGAAAGAGGCTAAAGGAGAGAGAGATCGAGAGATCAGTGATACAGCAGTGGGTGTTTGACTTCACCTGAGCCCTCGAAAAATTGTCATAACTTTTTATTTAACATCAAATTGTTTTAAAGACACTAACACCATTTGAATCCTCGCAACTTTCCGTTTTTGATAGTATCTTTCACTAACCATGAAACCCTGTCAGTCAAAAGAGTTAGCTCAATGTCCCCTAAGAAAAGTATGCCATAGTAAAGTATGTGGTGCCTGTATAAAGAGTTAATCATGCTAAGGTGAATGCGAATAGACTTTAGTTAGCTCATTGTGTCTGCCCCAAGCTCTACTGTTCACCACTTCAATATGTTTCAGTCCAGCCAACCCTATGCATTGACAATGTACGATGAACAAACTGTGCACCATCAGTCTGTCCGTTTGTGAGATAATATGGTTTTTGCACAACACAGGACAGGAGATTAGTTTTGTGCGTGTGATAATGGCTTGTGTCAAAGCATGGTAGGAGGCCCAAAGTTGCTGCTGACGCAAGGGTTTGTTCCAACCTTTTCTCCTCTTTCTTCTTCAGTTCTGTCATCCACTGAGTCACGTATTAGGTTCCACCGGCAGTCAATATCAGTTAGAAAAACTTTTATTGCAGAAGTTGCTGCTGAGAGTGCCTGCTGGAGTTTTGAAAGTAGCTACAGTATATAGCTAAATCCCAACACGCTTGCTTGCCCATCACTTACCAGATGGCAGCTAGTTGGTCGTAGAGTATCCTTGCTTCTTTGAGATCACTTGCTTGTAGTGCGACCTGCATGATAACCATGTGAAACACATTATAATGAGACCTAATTCTATTAAACCTGTAAAGCACAGCATGTCATGCCGAACCCCATGTGATCGAGGTATATGTGATCCGGCTTTGCTCTGAGTGAACCTGTGCCATCGACATCTGTAAGAAACTCTTCAATGAATGGACTTGGGGTATTCTTATCCTTGAAGACTTTAAAGGAGAGGAGAGGGTATAACACACGGCAATTCATGTAGACTGCAGTACAGAATTACTTGGTACATTGATGACCACTTTTTCTCCTCTTCTCTCTCTGATATTCCTTGTTAGAGTTCTAATAGAGTGAGGAAAGAACATGTAGCAAAAAAATGGTGGGTGCTGGACAGTATTCTCACATAAATCTAGGATGTCCGCACCACACGGCCTGGTCAGGGTAGAAGAGAGATTGGGAGGCAGGAGAGAGAGGAGGGCGGGTGTACTCGGGGAGAGTGAAGGAAGGACAGCCAAGGCGAGGGAAGGCAGTAATACACAGTGGAACAGTTGTAGTCCCCAGAGCTTCCTGCAGCTGCTTTCGCCTACATAAGAGTTTTTACTTCTCCCTGCCTCAAAAGGTTGCTAGCTATAACCACTTGTTTTAACCCTCGGCGCGCATGCGCAGCGAGGGTTACTGTAGTTGTGTGTCTGTCTGTGTGTATCTCACTTCTCGAGTGTTCGTTCGTCTCACAAAGGATACGGCCTACTTAACGGGCAATGAAGGTCAGAAAGGTTTGTGCGGTTTTCTCTGAAACTGCTCGGTTGCAAAGCTAGAGCGCGAAAAAGCCAATATGCAAATACACAACGGACGGGACGGCTTACCACAGTCGGATCGATCCGCGTGCTCTGCGTCCTTCGGGGGCACCAGAAGATGCAACGCAGGGCGTGAATCGCCTCTCGCATGCTATCTAGCAGTGTAGTTAGCCCGCGTCAGACTCGGCGCGAGCTGGGAAGAGACCACGAGTGACAGCTAAAATTAAACCCAGCCCATCAATTAGTGGTACGGCGCATGCGTTTACTTACGCGTGCGCGTCACTGTGCGCCGAGGGTTTGCACTTCAGTGCTTTTCATTACCCTCGGCGCGCATGCGCAGCGAGGGTACTGTAGAGTTGGGTTTGTCTGTGTGTGTGTGTGTGTGTGTCTGTTACTCTACATCTCACCTCTCGAATGTCTGTTCGTCCCAGAAACGATACCATCTACCCAACGGGCGACGAAGGTCAGAAAATATGTGGGATTTTCTCTGAAAATGCTCCGTTGCAAAGCTAGAGCGCGAAAAAGCTAATATGCAAATACGCAACGGACGGGATGGCTTACACCGCGGTCGTGCTCTGCGTACTTCGGAGGCACCAGAAGATGCAACGCAGGGCGTGTATCGCCTCTCGCTGCTATCTAGTTGTGTAGTTAGCCCGCGTCAGACTCTGCGCGAGCTGGCAAGAGACCACGAGTAACAGCTAAAACTAAACCCAGCCCATCAATTAGTGGTACTGCGCATGCGTTTACTTACGCGTGCGCGTCACAGTGCGCCGAGGGTTTGCACCAGTGCTTTCATTAACCCTCGGCGCGCATGCGCAGCGAGGGTTAGGTTTGTCCGTGTGTCTGTCAGTTTATACTCTCAATCTCACTTCTCGAGTGTCTGTTCGTCTCACAAAGGATACGACGTACCTAACGGGCAATGAAGGTCAGAAATTTCGAACAGTTTTCTCTGAAAATGCTCCGTTGCAGAGCTAGAGCGCTTCCGCCATTGTACGGCTAATGCCATTTTTATCGCTGCGGAAAATGCGCATGCGCTTATATTTAGCACAGGCTAGCTTACCTAGACCGGGTCCGCTTGCTCTGTGTATCTTGAAGGCACAAGAAGTCACAACGAATGGCGTGTATCGACTCTCGCATGCTATCTACTACTGTAGCTAGCCCGTGTCAGACTCTCAGCAAGCTACTAGCGGGAGACCACGAGTAAACGCATACTAATACAATTAGCGGTACCGCGCATGCGCAGTTCGCCGCGGGTTTGCACTTTAGTGCTTTCATTTTCAATGTAGTCATTCTTGCTGGCAGTTCTTGCGTTCATGTCCCCACAAGATATTGCCGTTACCAGCCATTTTTATCACTTCTGATTCAAAACATCTCCATTCTGCATCATTGTGGCATGTAGCTGTTGAGCCCGTTGGTGGTATGTAGCAAAAACTTATAAACAGCTCCTCATTTATTTGTGCAAAAGGTTTAGTTCCTATCCATAGTTTATCTTTGGAACATTCCTTCGACTATTGTAAAATTCTCGCTGAATCTGTTATGGATGTACAGCAACATTCTCCCTGCACCTCTTTTAGCTTTGTTATGTATGAAAGATCTTGGCTTGTTCACACACTTGTAGTTGGGGACTTCATATTGAGAACACTCCGTAGTTTTTAACCATGTTTCTGAATAACACACAAGGTCATAGTCTGTAGAAAAACTTCTTGAACATAATCATCAAGTTTGTTTTTAGAAATTAAGACCCTGAATGTTGTGATAAAACATTTTATAGAAATTTGTAGAATCAATTTGTGAATGATTGTGATCTTGTTGGTGGCCACACTGGCCTACATCCTACTCATGGGAGGGGGTGCTAGGGGTATCCCATACCAGCTGAGCTTTCAAATAACAGTCCATGGTTGCTCTTATCTAGCTACGTATATAGCTAATGCCCAAAGACAGTCATTGTATAATATACAAGTGGAAAAATCAAATCAGACTCCACCGAGAGAAAAATCATAACATAATAGAAAAATCACAGTAATAATAATTCATCAGCACATGTCTTGCATATCCTATTGAAGTCAATTTTGGCAATGGTTGTCCGAGGAAAGAATGCTGAGCATCATCTGAATTTACCCGAAAAGCCCACCGAGGAATAGAAGTGATGTTACGAGGAGGACCACGCTCAGATGTTTCTTTTATGAGGATGCGCTCCTTACTTTGTCGAATAGCTTGCTCAGATCTGTTTCCTTGCTGAACAGCATCTAGCTAAGCGCTCAAAAAATCTTCCAAGCTTATCGCTTCGCTATGGCAGATCCTTCACCATAATCACCGCCTTCCCTTCCTCATCACCAACACTCTCCTCGCTTGACATCATTTCCTGAATCATAATACTCTTCTCCTTGCTCTTGAAATGTGATGATTGAAATGTAGACTGCATCTTGGCCAATTTCTGTAGGTATGTTATTCAGTAGCTTAATAAACAAAGCAAAGCTAATGTTGTTTGTATACTTACAGTAAGTGCTCTTTGCTTTCGTCTTCGCTGAACTTTCCAATCTCCAATTTTCCCCCGCCGTTAAAGAGATGCTTACTGGCAGAGGGTTTTGTAGTACGTGTAGCTTGCAGCTATTAGGTAGGTACTAGTGCCCACGTGAGCGACGTTCCATTCGATAGCAAGCCCATGACCGACCGTGGTGGTGTGCACTCTCTTCACTTAACATAGATCATACAGTGGGAGAGTTGTGGGTGTGTCATTCTAGCGTCGCGGAGGGGGAGGAGAAGGCCTGGTGCACTGCCTACATATAAGCCACTTTTTCGTGAGGAATGTTTTGTCACGCTATTAATAATTAAATTTGTTGACATTATGCGGGGGGGGTGTGCGTGCGATCGAGAATCTCAGTCCAGGTTTTTGCCAGTGCCAAAGACTCCACGGTGTACCGAGAGTCACTGTAGAGTCTCTTTGACTCAGGGTCCTACCCACAGCCGGCGCCAGAGAGAGCGTGTATTAGCCTAGTGACACTCAGAAAACACCACACTGTCGGTAACTGGGTTTGGACAACTGAGCGCAATCTTCACTGGGGATAAAGACCCGAGCGCAGTAGACTATTCGAGTCAAAACAGCACGGCGTGAACGGCGTGGAATGTAATCAGAATGCGCTGTTACAAAGTAAGCCTGTTCTGTGATGAAAGAACTCATAATAACGACGGTTCTCTTCCTCTAGCAGCCCTATAAGTGGCTGCACATCATTGGCAGCAGCTGCAGTTTTGATACTACATCCTTTACACCTATCCTTCACACCTACCCTTCACACCTATAGTAATGTTTGGAATCTCGATACCCACAATGTGTTCATAGCTATCAATCAAACGCCAATGCAAGGCATTTTTGGCCAGTGGGAGCAAGTCATTTTTGGGCTTTGGAACACAGTTAGTACGGATTACAAGGAAGATGAGGTGACGAGAGGACTATTTTAAGGGACTGTAAGACTACGACATACAAATGTGTGTTATAATGAATGACTGCTAAAGTGCATGTCTCAAGAACTTGGTAGTGAGGTAGAAAGGCAAGGCAAGGCAAACAAGTCAACTACAACTCTTTCTTTTCAAGGTGCCTTATGTGGCACTCGAACTAACGATATTCTGCAGTCTAGGAGAGCCCTCTAGCTATAAACCAACTGAGTTACACCAGGGCAACTCAGCTTCACACAACACAACACTAAGGCAAACCTCAAACCTCTTTTCTGTGGCACAGTATACTCTCACTCAGTATGTAGCTAGGGGGTAAATATACCACCAACTCCAGACTGAGTCTCTGCACTATATAGCTGAATATTATATCGGTCTGGTTCTTATATCTGTGTGTGCATAACTGATACATGCTATATATCTACTACCGTAGCTAGTCCGTGTAAGACTCTCCGCGAACTACTAGCGGGAGACCGCGGGTAAACGCCAATAGCCCAGCCCACCATTAGGAACCGTGCATGCGAAGTTCGCCGAGGGTTTGCACTTTAGTGCTTTTCATTTTATTAGGTTTTGGGTATCACATGATTAAGCAAGGTTGCATGGAGAATCTTTGTGTATAAGACAGTTGCTAATCTCTTTCTTCAGGGTTTAGGGGCACAAATATGTCAGTTCACTTTTAGTTGACAATGTTAAACCGTCTCCCAAGGAATGCAGTGTCCAAGGTCAGACCTAACAATTGAGCATAAAAAATGGAGCTACGCTTTCTGCTACATTTCTGTGTCCACAACACATACAGTAGCTCTTTTATACTTTCCACTGGTAACCACAGAAAACCCAGGTAACTCTGCCTTGTGTTCCAAAACTCCACGTAAAACAAGTGTCATAGAAGCAATGCACATGTTGTTTGATGGGCACCTGGCGTTGTAGTTTAAAAACTAACATAATCAACGTGATCCCCTGTAGCTACAACTGTACAAGGAACAAGGAATAATAATACGTACAAGAGCTAGCTATAGTATCAATGTAGTATAAAATGAGGATGATGATGACAATTATTGCAATTATAAGTGGGATTCCTAGGCCAAGTCCCAGGCCTGGTTCAATAGAATTTGGATTGTTGTCATCAGCAGAATCAGGGGTGAGACTCATTGTTTGGGAGTTGGGGAGTGGACAAGTTTGATTGGTGCAGTTAATGCATACACCATTGGCATCACATACAGGACATGAGTTTTCTGCGAGAATGTCAATACAGTCAGGTATATCACTATCTTTAATATTTGCCGGAACAAGCTCATCATACACATACCCCCATTCTTCTGCAATGCGGTACTGCTCTCCTGCTGTAATTAATGGAAAGAAAGGCACTAAATAGTCACCACGGTTGTGCCCGGGATGTCCGCCACAAATTGGCACAAAAGCAGGAAGGAGGTTGGGGGAGTTTTTTCCATTTGCAAAGCGCTGCATCCAACTCTCCAAGATTCTATCCACATTACAGTGATGAAGATTGAAAACTGGATCATTCACAGCAGCAGGCACGTCATCCATTTGACCCCCCACCCAGTCATGAACAACGTTGTGCATGTGACTGTTTTGTGTATTAAATCCGACGCAACTCATTGCTGAGCATATCATATTCCATCCTTCCAATCTGCTTCGGAAACTTGCTCTAGAATCGTTCATAAAATATTGTCCACTGTCATCAGCTGCATCATAGGAAGGAGCAGCAATGGCTATCATCACTTCCACTACATTAGGGAGATATGACAAAGAGCCTCCTCTCTGAAGAGGCTGTCGTTCTGCTA